AGGGGTGGATCTCTCTCAGAAATCCTGATGTGCCGTGTGGGGCCAGCGGGCAGTGAGGAGGGGCCAGGGTGGGTGTCGTGGGAGGGAAGGAGCAGCGTGGGGAGCAGAGCGATGGGGAGATCGTGGGGGGCAGTGGAGCAGGGCCTGAGGTGGCTCTGCCAGCCTGAGACCTGCGGTGCTGGAGGCTTCCCAGCGGGTCTGATATCCCTGTGGGGGTCGTGGGAAGCCAGGCAAGGGGATGAGCTGGGAGTGGAAGGTCTGGCAGAGTTTTTCCCTGCTCCCTGGAAGACACCTTGGGTAGAGGATTGGGAGGGAGTTAGATCTGTAACGTGACTGCAGGCAGGAGCTGGTTGGTGTTCTGAGAAAAGGCAAGACAAGGGGACCAGATGTGTCTGGATTGTGATGAACCTAAGGCATTACCTCCAATTCCTTGATGTTGGCTGTGCAGTCGTAGGAAGGACTCCTCACCTTGCCCTTGTGTGAGGAGGTTAACCCTGTTTTTCAGAAGATTGAGACTTTCAAAGTCATGCTGAGGCTCCTGAAGGCAATGGGAAGCAGCAGAGATGGAGTTAGCCTGTTGCTGCTGTGTTTTCTTAAACACCTGACTAGATTTCTTGCCATGGAGTGTGAAAATAAGTTAAACAAATCCTCTGTAGCCCTAAATTTCACATGCTGCTTCCTGCAAACCCCGACCTGATACACCCTGGAAGGGTTATGAGTCCTGGGGTAATAATTAGCGTTTACAATTCAATGCTTCATAGGTGTGTTTTAATATGTAGCTACAAAGGTGCTTTCCTACCAGTTTTATTACCTGTCTGGCGTTGTGAGGAGGGTGGTGAGACACTGGCACAGGATGCCAGGATGGTTTGTTAATCCCTGGAAAGGTGTTTTCCTTCTTTCTTTCCTCCCCTTTCCTCTCTTGCCTACGTACATATCAATGGGAGAGTGTTTCTGGTGTGGGATAAACGAGCACAAAGGCTGGGAGCAGCTCAGTGTCTGGCTGAGCAATGGCACAGCCCCAGCTCATGCTTCTTTTGGCGTGTCTGTTGTGGATTTCAGTCTCTGAGCAAAGGTTTTGGGTCAGGTTTGGGGCTCTCTGCTGGGTCAGGCACCCGGGGGGGAGCCAGGCAGGGGAGGGGCTGTGTGAGGAAGGGCCCACGCTCCATTCCTGCAGGGGCTGGGGGAGTGGAGGAGCTCAGGCTGATACTGGCTTACAGGGGAACTGCAAGTTAAATTATATCAGCATTTTGAGGGTGTAAATGTCACTGTGGCCAGTAGTCAAAGGGTGCCATTGCAGTCCTGTCCCTACTCCTGTCTGTTGCCTGGGTGGTCTCAGGCTGGTCTGGTCCCAGGGCTTGGCTGCACCCAGGGGAGGGGGTTTCACCATCATGGGGAGGTTCTGGGTTAGAATAATGTCAGTGGCACCCCAGCCTGTGGGGCTGCAGTCCTGGCTGCCACAGATGACACCAGATCAGTGGAGCTGGCTGGGATTAGATCATACAGGGCTCTGTGTGGTTTCCTGGCTGTTCTGGGGCTGTGCAGCCCTCTGAGCAGTGATTTGGGCACAGAGGCTGTTCCCACACCCCAGGACTGCAGAGCAACAGGCTCCAGGTACTTGGAGTAACTTGTGCTGCCCCACCCAGTGAGTGGGGAGCCAGAGAAACCCCCTGTTCTGGAGGCTGCACCCCACTTGGGCATCCCCTGTGTGAAGGTGCAGGGATCCCAGGAGCAGCCCAGCCTTGGGACAACCCTCACAGCTCTGCTCTAGGAGCTCAGGCAGGGTTTCTGTGCTGAGACCTCCTCACAGAACCACTGAGTGCTTAAGGGACTTTAAAGGTGCCTCAGTCCATGGGCAGGACACCTCCCACTACAGCAGGTTGCTCAGGGCTCCCTCCTACCTGGCTTTGAACACTCCCAGGGATGGGGAACCCACAGCTTCCCTGGGAGCCTGGGCCAGTGTCTCACCACCCTGAGAGAGAGGAACTTCTACCTTACATCTAATTTAAATCTAAATCTCCCCTCTTCCACTTTGAACCTGTTGCCCCTCATCCTGTCATCCTTCCCTGGAGATCCCTCCAGATAAAACATCTCTTTTCTTCCCTTGCTGCCCGAGTCCACACAGAAGCCACGTTGTTGGAGTGGGATTAGTGTGTGCTCTGTGTTCTTCAACGACACCTGAACAGAGGCAATTAAATCAGCCAGAGGTTACTCAGTTGCCTGACACGGGGGTGCAGGAGGCAGAGGAGTGTGGAGCGTCCCCTCCTGAGCTGTGCCCCCCTGCTGCCTGGCCCCAGCCCTGCCTTGCCCCCACCTCACCACTTCCAGCTTTCATCCTTCAGAGGAGCTTTAACAGAAGGCTAATCAGGGTGATTTTTAATTGTTGATTTGGCTCTCTGAAGCTGCTGAGATGACCTTGCCCAGGAACCCGTGGGGAAGTGCTGGCGTGGGGCGAGCTGGCTCGGTGAGCTCCCGCTCTGGCACGGGGCCACCCTGCCTATTTATAGCCTTGCAGGAGGAGCAGGGCGCAGGGGAGAGCTCCTGGATTGAGAGCCAGATGACTGGCACGCCGACCTGCTGGGAGCTGTGGAGCCTGCCCAGAGATCTCCATCTCCCAGGTCACCCAGGTCTCTCCTCCTGCACCCCGGGCACCGGGGCTGTGGCCGTGTTGCTGGTGAGGGCTGTGGCCTGTCCCCTGCCTGCTGCCACGTGGGGCTCCTCCTGGCTGCCTCACCTCCCCGTGGGGGTCCTCCTGGTGGGTCAGGCTCGTGGTTCACCCCCAGCCCTGACCTGAGCCTGGCACCAGCTCTCACCAGGCTGTGGTGAGGGCAGAGATGGAGCCAGCGGCACTCGCGGGGTGCGGTTTTTTTGGGGGTGGGCCGGCTCCCGCCGGCCTCTGGGTGCTGTGCAGTTCCTGACAGCCCCATCAGGAGTGCTGGGTGATAACCCGGGTGGAGCACAGCTCAGCTGTCCCTGCCCTGCTGACACAGCAGGAGCCTGCCAGCCCCTGCCAGCCCCACCCCTGCCTGCACCAACCACCTCAGCTGGTCTCTCAAACAACACATCTCGGGTGGGGGAGGATAAAGCACAGCTCGGATCCCCTCAGACCACTCCTGCTGCCCTTTGTGGTCACTGTGAGCAGCATCTCCAGCTGGGCAGTCCCTCAGGGCTGTCCAAGCAGCATTTTCACCCCAGAGGCCAGGAGATGTGTACCCACGGCTGTGCCTACCAGACCTGATGCTCTTTGGTGTGCATGGGATTTATTTTCAAACCTCTTCCTGCAGCCAGAGCCTTTGTTCAGACTGTCGTGGTCTCCCTGTGATTACTGCTCCCTCCCTTCCTCTGCCCTCATCTTGCCCAGCCTGTGTCTGTGCAGAACTCTGCTGCCCAGGTGGTTTCCCCAGCCACAGCCATGGGCACTCTGTGCCATCCACCAGTGCCTCTCCTTTCCACACCTCATGGCATCTCTGCAGAGCTCTGTTTTTAAAGCTTCCCTTAGCCTCTCCCTACTGTCTGTCCTCTCATTTCCAAAATCTTTCTACAGGGGACATTATTTTGGGCAATTTTTGAACTTTTGTTTAGCTATGAAGTTGAGTATTTATGCTTTACAGGCTTGGAGAGTCAAGGTGTGTGCACATAGACTGACAGACTGGTTTGGACTGGAAGGGACCATAAAGATCATCTAGTTCCAACCCCCTGCAGGGAGCAGGGACAGCCCCAGCTAGAGCAGGGTGCTCAGAGCCCCGGCCAACCTCCCCTGGGATGGTGCCAGGGATGGGGCAGTGACCACCTCTCTGGGCAGCCTGGGCCAGGGGCTCAGCACCCTCCCAGTAGCTGAAGTGCAGAGATGGTAACTGCAGAGGAACTCCTGTTTTTGAGAACAGTTTGAAGCAGCATTGGGACAGTCCTCTCCTGCCTGCTTTAGGGAAGACAGATGTTTGCACATCAGGAGTGTTACAGAGGAGGCAGCAGTGGGGTGGGGCTCTGCTCACCAAGCTACCAGCTCTCAGGTTAAAATCCAAGTGAAAGATGAGCCCTTCAGTCTGCCTGCAGCTCTGCTGGAGCCAGGTCAGATCCTGCCACAGGTTCAGCACAGGGGGCTGCTGACCCTGGGGCTTGGGTGGGTGGATGTTCCTTCTTGTAGGACGTGTGACTTTGGGGGAAATAGAAAGTACATGGAAGCAGTGGGTATAGATCTGTGTGGAGTGGTGGGGAACAGAGTGATTGACTCACTGGCTCCTCTCTTCTGCAGCTGGTGTATCCTTATGACTTCAGGCTAACAGAGAAAGAGGTAATAACTGGTTTATATTTTTCCCCATGGTTTTAAAGCAGCAGTGGTGGAGGTTTTCTTACTCTGTTTTCTTTTTTCCTGTTGTTCTTGCAGAAAACTAGTATCTGCTACTTGTCCTTCCCAGACTCCTACTCAGGTAGGTGGCATCTGCTGGCCCTGCCTGCAGCCTGCAGGATGGGCTGTTGCTGCTGGGAAAGAAATGGGCTCCTGGTGGAAGGAGTGATTCCTCCCCTCTGCTGCAGCAGGGCCTGGTGGGCTCTGTCCTCTAGCACCACCCTGCCCTTAGCTCTGGGCAAGGAGGCTTCTTGTCATTTGGATTGCTCTCTGGGTATAGAAGCTGTGACCTGGAAGGGTACAGGACCATTGCTTGATAAGTTGGTGCACTCATGCTTCACCCCTGCTGATAAAATGGAAAAAATAGTCATGGAGGGAAGGATCCCTGAGGTTTGCAGCTGTCCACTGACAGCCCTTCTGCACTGGTGAGGGCTCAGTGAAGAGAAATAGATGGGAGGAGGATGCTTTCACAGCAGAAGTATTCCCAGAGCTTGTATTTACAAATCAGAAAGGTGGCAATGAGAAATAAGCATCTTAGTTCATTCCAGTACCTGCTTCTTTAGGACTGGTTCTGGCTGTTAGTTTTCTACAGCTTTTCCCAGTTTAGTTTTAAATGGTTTTAAGGATGAACTTTCACTTGATTCTCAGAGCTTAGTGAATGCTCAGCTTAAATGTCTCTTTTATTAAAGTAAATTATTTACTAATAATAATATCTTGATAACACACACAACAGGCTTTACTCTTCTTTGGAGCATCACACCTGCAAGCAGCAGGAAGGGAGAATCTGCTCTCCCCCCATGGCAGTGCCTTAAGTCCTCAGGTTTTCTTTGGGGAGCTCAGTGTGTCTCACCACAACTTCCCTCATGCCTGACCTCTGGGTGCAGACTCAGCCCTGCTCCTGCCCACCCAGCTGAGGGAAGAGCCTGAGGACCTCCTGCTTCTCTCTTGTCCTGCTGTCCCAGCACGTGTGGTGGGGGTGAGCTGGAAGGTGCCCAGCCAGCCGTGGTGCACCTGGGCTGTTTGCTGGAGCCCCTTTGCAGTGGGTTGGCATTCAGATCAGTGTCTGTGTGGTCTGGGATTCAGGCTGTTTGCAGGTTTTGCACCACAGTGGACAAGGAGTGGTGGCTGCAGCTACTCAGGACTGGTGGTGCTGGGCAATGTCTGCATGTTTCCAGCCATGGCCTGAGGAGCTGTAGTTGAATCACAGCAGTTCTGTTGAGCTGTGTGTCCTTCCTGTGTTCCATGGGGCTCGGGGGGTTTCTTTAGGCTGTTCCTCTCCATTTTCAGTTTTGAGGTTCCTGGTAAATCAGCATCAGCGTTTCAGATTGAACCATTTCCACCTTTCTCTTCACTGGAACTTCTGCCTGAGGCTTTGTGTCTTCTCTGTCTCAGGGGGCCTGGGGGACACCCAGTTCAGCTTCCGCCTCCGCCAGTCGGGGGGCCAGAGGAACACCCCATTTGAGGACGATGGGGAGTACAACAGAGAGGCACCCCTAACACTGCAGGTCAGTGGCACGCTCAGCAGGCACCAGGCTGACTGGGTGAGAAGCCCAGGATGCTTTGGATTTGCTTTCTGGGCATGAAACATCTTCTCTACCCTGGGGACAGTCAGGAAAGGAGAAAGCTTTTAACTCAGGGCCTTTCTTCCCCATTAATAGTCACCAAGGGCTGTGTTGAGAATCCCAGCTGCTCTGAGAGCTGCAGCTGAGTGAGGGGACCCCAGATCAGAGCAGTGGTTGTGTCTAGCTACAGAGGAAGGACTTCATCCTGAGCAAAGTTTGGATGGTACTGCCTTAAGAACCTGACTAAAAAGGACTGCAACAGGTATGGCAGAGGGTGTTCCTTCCCCTCAGAAGATGACATAGTCCTTCCTGAACAATACATTATCCTCTAGCTGGCAAAGAGAACTGACAGTCTGAGCACATCAGTGGCAGCAGGAGGTGCCAGCATGAGCTCAGCAGGTTGGCTCAGCTGGTCCTGCTAGTGGAAACCTCAATTAACCCTTCAGATCATAGACTGACAGACTGGTTTGGGTGGGAAGGGACCTTTCAAGGGCATTGAGTCCAACCCCCTGTGCTCAGCAGGGACAGCCCCAACTAGAGCAGGTTGCTCAGAGCCCCGGCCAACCTCCCCTGGGATGGTGCCAGGGATGGGGCAG